GATGAAGGGGAAATGTCTATATGTAGAAGCAAACCAGCTAATAATTGAAGAAATAATTCATCATTTCAACTCCTAATGAGATAATGGATTTAAGCAAAGATTATCAATACCTGTTCACATTACAAAAAGAAGACAACCAGAAATTACTTATTCTCTAGGAAAGCACACGATAGCATCCATTAAGTGTGTGGATAGAAGAAGCTAATCTCCAAAGTCTCTAAGAGTTTTGAACAGAAATTTAAAGGAAATGCAAAGAAAGAAATGAAGTCAGAAAAATTCAGATTGAGGAAAACTCTATAGGAAAAGCAACTGATTTCTTCAACAAAAGTTCACCATATACAAGGGTGGGGAGGGGGAAAAGAAGACAGAAAACCTATAAATTAAAAGCGAGAGCATAGCGAGACCTTGTTTCAAAGTAATATATATATATTTTTTAATAAGGGAGGTTGAGTTGGAGAGGTAGCTCAGTGTAAAGGCTCTGTGATCATCCTCAGGACTGAAAAAAATAAAGAGGGGCAGAGATGGAGTTGGAGCGGAGATTAACATCATTCAACTGCAAAGTGTGAGCATTGTTTGAATTCCAGTTCAGAAACCTTGAATTAAGAGTTGGTAAGCGATTGAAGAAATCTGAGCAAGTATTGAATATTTATTCTTATACAATTATTGAAATGTTTCCAGGCGTGATAAAGGTTTTGAGAGTGCACAAAGGGTCACCCTCTTTCAGAAACACCGTAGAATGTGTAGAGATGTCATGAAATGTAAGATGGCTTCAGAATCGCAGGTGGGATGGAAGGAGACAAAGATGTCAGTGTAAAGGAAACGAGGCTAATCCTGTGCTGTTAACTGTTGACACTGAGTGACAAGTACATGGAGAGTTATTAACTTTTTCTCTTTAATGTGTATGAAAATATTCTAAATTAAAAAGTTATGACATTGAGGGTAAAGGCAAAAAATTTTTCCTAAAGCCTGGGATGATTGTTCATCAAAACTTTAATGAATTAGATGTGTATCCAAACAATACTTACAAAATATTATTTTCTGCTCTGTAAAGGAAGGTTTGTAGACACTTGGGTTGCTTTTAGTTGATGCTTGTGATTAGTGCTTTTATGCATAGAGCTTTATGTATGTTTTTCAAGTCTTGGTGTCCCTCCTAAAGCATGTGTTAAGATGTTGTCATGAAATGTCCGTACCAGAATATAACACACCCTGCATCTGCACTTGCATAATGGAAATAATATTTTTGAAATATGTTCACAAATAATACACTTGCTCCCTTAAATGTTTTTTGTTTTCTTTTGCTATTAATTCCTTTTCCTAGGAATTCTATCATCCAACAGACAAGGACAATAAGAACCTTCTAGAATCAAGAAATACATAAGTAGAAATACTTATGCAGGTGGAACATAGAAAATTTCTCCATTGAAAAAGGACAGGAAATAGAACCCCCTCTGGTACAAAAGGGAAAGGGGCTCAAAGAGATTGGGTCTAGGTTTGGGCTGGTCCTGGGGTTCACTAGAGGGACCTATCCCTTGTGAGAGACAGAGTCCCTACAAGGAATATGCACCATGTAATTATTTTAAAGACCCCCCCTCTCATGCTGTATGACAAAGTCCTAACTGCTGGATTTAATGTGATTTAACATGGAAAAGAGTTTTTGCAGATAGAATTAAAAATTTGCAGATGAGATTATGCTGGATTAGGGTGAACCACACATCCATGGTAAATCTTCCTGAGACGTGAGGAGAAAGAGACAGACACACAGAGGTGGACCTGTGGGGACTGACACAGAAGGGAGTAAGGCAGTCCCAAGCCAAGGGACACCAGATGTTGCAGTGGCCAGAATGTGGCGGAGAAGCATGGAGCCGATCCTTCCTCCCTCAGAGCGTCTAGAGAGAACCACTTTGCCAACAATTTGACTTCAGGATTCTGGTCTCCAGAACCAAGAGAGAATGAATTTCCATTCCATTAAGTTGGCAGTAATTTATTGTCACAACCCAAGGAAACTAATATACCCCACTCTCATCGCAAGTTCTGGGAGTTGGAATCCACATATAATAATCCAATACAATATGCCAAGAGAATAGTGAATATTGGTGCCATGTTTTGGGGGAGAGTTAGGCCCAGAGATAATACCCTTATGTCTCTCTTGGTTCCTGGAGTCCTAACAAGCTCATGGGCTTCAGGAGATGGCCCGTGGCTGAAAACTGGTGCACCATTCACAGGGGCTTTGTGGTGAGAGATGCCTTGGTGAAGTTGTAGAGATGGGCAGCAGAGGGAGAGACCGAAAAAGCACAAGGGCTAGGTAGGAAAGGGGAGATACAGCCATACCAGAAATGTGCAAGGAGAGTAGATATGTGATTCCCCAAGCTGTAGACTTGTTTGAATGAATTTAGAGAGTACAAAGGCTGAGGCCAGAACAGGAGATAGTAATTTACATCGCCTCAGAGAAGCAGAGCCAGGGCACAAATACCATGAGAACTAGAGACCACCTTCCCGGGATAAACTTCCTCTTGTACCCTGGTTTCATTTTGGGGAGGAGAAGAACCTTGGCATGAAATTATTCTACTAAACAGTTCAAACTTTAATAAAAGCTCACCTGAAATGGATTATTGCAATCAAGGACAGACTTAGTCAACAAGAATGGTAAGTTCAAGGATTTCTTTATGTCATTAGGTGAAGTGAAGGATTGCAGGGTTAGGAGGAAGACTTTTTGAGATGACATCAATTTAAAAAATTCTTAAAAATCACATTTGCATGAACTGTAGAGTACTATGTTTGACCTTGTTAAACATGAAATGGCAAAAACCAGTGGTTATAGACTTTCAATATTTTTTCTCCAATAAAATGAAGGATGATTTTTTTTATTGGCTAATTTAGGCCTATCTTATTTATACATCTGTCTGCCTGTAAGTCAAGATCAGACAATGAAAACCTGTTGTAACTGTCCATCAAAGTCTGGAAGACTGTCTCTTTTCAAAGAGCTCTTTTATCAATCTGGGTGGTTAGTTTTGATCTGACTTTGGCATGTTACTGCGAAATTCACAAATAATTCTTATCAAGAGTTCTGTGGGTGCTGATTGATAGACCAAGTTTAGAGGGCTGTTTTTATTTTTATTTATTTATTTTTGGTTTTTTTTTTGGTACCAGGGATTGAACTCGGGTCCTTGCGCTTGCAAGGCAGGCCACCTAACCGCTGAGCTAAATCTCTGGCCCTAGAAGGCTATTTTTAATGTATTCAGTTTATTTTGGAGTTTTACATCTTTTTTAAAAATTTCACAATGTTCAGGTCTGATTTTACAGCCAACTAGAAAGTATTGAAGCAGTTTCCCAAACAGTTAAGAGCTCCTCTATTAACCCTTTCCTGGGTACAAGTGCCTGAAAAATCTATTACCCTAACACTTTGGTTCATTTGCTTATACAACAGTTGTGGATTCTTTGGCTGGAGTGACATCCTCTGATGTTTATCTGGCTTCTGGTTTATGCAGTAACTAATTTGCTAGGCTGTGAGATAAAGCCCAATAAATACATATAAACACCTAAGGTGCTTGTAGTTTAGAAATTCTTGAATCCTTTGGAGCAGATCGGTGATTTCCCATTGCCACTAGATGTCCCTATGTGGCTTTCCTTTTGGACTTCGGTACTGTACACATGCTAAGTTATTTCTGCCCTGCTGGATAGAAGGAAAGGGCTCCACAGGCTCTGAAGGAGCATTTTACAGTGGAATGCAATCCAAGCTGCTGCTCAGCACAATTTAGCCCTAGTGCACGGATTTACAAAACGAGGGTGTGCAATCACTGGCAGAGATCAGGATGATCTCTGTGCGGGTCCAGGGAGCTTTCCAACTGGTATTGTGGACCATTCCCTGCATGTCTTCCCACTTTCCAAGGCCTAGATCAAAGATTCTAAAGGCACTAGGCCAGAAGAAATAGCTTTATAAAATCTTTTTGTATTTCTGATTTTTATTTGGGGGGGGTACCAGGTATTGAACTTGGGACCTTGTGCTTATGAAGCAGGTGGCAGAACCACTGAGCTAAATCCCCTGCCTGTATTTCTGATTCTTTGCGTGATCTCAGTGCACGTGACTGTTATGCATTGGATGGTTTAGAATGCACGACTAATTTATGTTGCATATTGTGTGAGTTTGATAACTCCTAAACTGGGTGTTCCTGATTATGTCCCTGGGAGACCCCCAAAAAGCATCAGCTGACTGTAAATGTTTAATGCTTACTTTGCACTTTAGTAATGGTTTTGTTGCAGATAGACAAGTCTGTAGACTTGCACTCCCTCGTCTGAGGGTCATACTTTGAGCACCACCAGCCTAGGCATTATCATGGGGCACATTTCTGCCTCCTTAGGCAAGCATGTAGACTCAGGCAGCTGTGGAAAGCTTGAAGGAGACTCACAAAGCTTGCAGGGGCAGTGCTGTCTGTCTTTTCAGGGCTCCAGATCCAGGCCAGGCCTGGGCTTTCCATTGAGTAATGTGCTGGATCTCAGACGAAGGCCACTGCAAAGAGAAAATGATGGGCGATCCCAGGAAACAGTATCGGTGCAGAGGGAACGAGAATGTTTGCAGTTTCTGGTGCTTCTGGAAGACATTAAGTAAACCCTGAGATGGTGCTTTGCGTGTTTGGAGAATTAAAGGTGACGCAGGTGGTACACACTACGTGCTTGGATTCTTTTAAATAATTAGCCACGGGGACACCTAGGTGACAGCTGGTACGAGGACTTACCCAGCGACCAGCTCTCATTATAGAATCATGGAAGTGAGTTCTACAGCTTTACAAACTGAAAGGAGATCGTTTGTTTACTCTCGCATCCGTGGTTTATATACTAATGATCACTTATGAAGCTAGTTTTTTGTAAGGCGAGAGCACAATTCCCTTACACAACTATAGTGAAGAGGGTGGTTGTGGTCCTGTTTGCTCATAGGAAACCACTTAAACCAGACGTCGACTGAAAGAAAATAATTAAGCTATGTATGTATTTCTTGTTTATTAATGATCGCACAGTAGGTCAAATCAAGGCAGAAAGAAGAAGCCAAGGGAAAAGTTAGGGTCCCCTGAATTCTGCAGCTGTAGTAGGGGCATCACGTGACTGAGCCCTCAGGAAGGGAACCAGCAGGGATGCAGGGGTACAGCGGTTTCAGGCGAAGGGAGGGATTGGAATGCAGAAGGGATTCAGTGGCCGATTCTTTAGGGTCTGAAACAACAACAACAAAAATGTGTTTAATCAGCAGTGTTGGCGTCCTGACATACAACGGGATGGCTGAAAGGCTAAGACCTCCTGGAAAGGAAAAGTCAATTCATAGATGGTAGACGCTCCAGGTGAGTGTTGGCAAGCGGAAGTAAAGGATTACAGAGCTGGATGAGAGGATGGAGATGAAGAGCTAAAACACAGCTCCTTGGGTCAGAAGGATGAAATGCCGCAGGGCAAGGCCCATTTTTACATGTTCACATTTCCTTTCAAGGAGCTCTGAGGCCTTAGTCCTCCCTTCCCGAACCTTGCCCTTCCTGAATGAGGACCCTATAGTGGGCTGATGTCCACACACCCTCCGTGGATGCAACAGGGGATGGGGCAGATCTGGGTTTGATGGGGTTAAGGCTTATGAAATTCTTGAGTGTCTCAAGCAGAAGAAAGATTAAAAATATAAAATTAGGGATAGAAATAAAGATTTTCAGAGAAAAATAAATAAAAACACATCATCCATTTAAAAAAGGTAGCAAAAGTCAGGAAGAGCTCTTGCCTAGTATTCGCGAAGCCCTAGGTAGGACCCCTACCACCAAAACAAACCAAACAAACAAAAAAGGAAAACCAGCAAATGCTATAAAATACAGAAAATGACAGAATATTTGTCAGTTGTATATTTGTCTTTCAAAATATCTTCAGGATGTCTTTCATCTTTGTTTGCCTCTTCAGTGACAGTGATTGTGTAGCATGATTTTTGCAGCAAGAATAGAAGGATAATTATCCTTTGTAGCCTCTAGTATGTGTAAGAAAAACTTTTAAAATGTTTTAATACTTTTAGGGAAATTTGAGTTTAAAAGTACTTAACAGATGAATGGATAATGAAAAGGTGGTATTTATATAAAATGGAGCACTACTCTGCCACCAAGAAGGATACACTTGTGACACTTTTAGGTAAATAAATGCATCTTGAGACCATAATTTTAAGTGAAAAAAAATCAGACACAGGTACATCACATTTTTTTTTCTTGTGTGAATAACCCATAGGGTAAATAAGGAGGAAAATGGAGAATAGATATTGGGGATTAGGAAAAATTTGATAAAATGGGAAGGGGAATGAGGGAGGGGTGAGAGGGAAGGGAAGAAAGGGAATGGAAATTTTAAAAAGGGAAGGAAAAAACAGAAGCAAAGCTTTTGTAAACGGGGGTGGGAGGAGAAGTGTTGATGGGAGGAGAGGGGCATAAGAACAAATAAGAATTAAGAAACACTATACACAGGCACAAATTCCCCCCAATGAATATGCTCATTATACATGGCAATTGGCAAACACGTGCTAATAAAAAATAACTGAGCAATAAATAAAAAATAAGCATGTACCAATAAAAAACAAATAATCAGTAATACCATGGAAACTTTTATAGTTGACAAATTTAGGAAACTACCAAATTTGTTTTCTATATAAATTGTTTTTGGAAAAAGTTTCCACATGCACGTTTCTGTTTCTTTGCACTTTAGCTGTCTGTCCCAGTTAGGTACTCACAAAAGTTTTGCTATCTGATACAGCCATACATGTTCACATCATCGTGTAATCTCTGGCCCCTCCTTCTGTCTATACCCCTCTTTCTTGCCGTAGCGCTTCCTGATGTCAAAGTAGATTTTTCCCATCCTGAGAAGTCAGTGGATAGGGTAACTTAATCTGCAAAGATATGAGCAGTGAAATTGTTTTCTTGGCCAGGTTCAGAAAATGTCTTCTGTATGTAAATGGCTATGGTGCTATGTTTCTCATTCTCTATAACTCGGAAAATAGCACATTCTGCCTGGTCCTTGACATTTTAAGATTATTTATCATTAAAAAAAACTATAGTTTAATTGTTTTAATGGAAGGGACGAGCCTGTCATATTCCTGGCATTCCTGCCTGTGTATCTTCTGAGTACTTCTCAAATGTATTTAACTCTTCTCTCTAATTCTATTTCCATGTCTCTGTGTTCCTACCAGTTTGCACATGAATGGCTGCCACTGTCACCATGCCCACCTGTGCTTTCTATGATAAACTCATTTCTACAAAGTCTAGTCAGATTTAAAGTAGAGATACAATGCCAATTTGATTGTACCATTGGCCAGTCCCTCAAATCCTTCACTAGTTTCTTGTTACTCATAAGATACAGATTATATAGCCCCATTGGGTTTGATCCAATTTTTCTCTCAAGCTGCTCCAGAGGGTTCCCTTGCCTTTGTTGTAGTCAGGCTGGCTGCTCTCTGTTTCCTGAGTTCTCTGGGCTCTGTGCTCCTTGCCAACAAAAGAACCTTTGCCATCCTGGGGGATCTAGTGCTTTTCTCCTGCCCCACCCCACTTACTGAGCTCATCCTCTGTTCAGCTGTTACTTTTCGTCGGAATTCTCTCTCAAATCCTCCCCCTCAGTAAAGACCCTCGAGGTATGGTATACTAGATCTTTGGGACACTCACCACAGTTGCAATTTTATATTTGTTTTTATTTCTTGCAGGTTGCTGTCCTAAGCTTTGGAGCTTCATGAGGGCAGGACAGTCTGTATCTCTGGCTCCCCAATACAGCTGGTTGCCACCAGTAGTACGAAACTGGTGCTTGGATCATCATAGGCAATCAAAAGTATTCACTAAATGGAAGAATTAACTTTGCAGTCTATGTTGATTATATCTCATTATTAGAATGGTGAAATTTTGTACAGTGAGTTGTCAAGTGAGATTCATTTGTAAGATAGCCAAAGGAAGACAACGTATATAGAGAATATTGCCTAAAGTATTTTTTTGTGCTAAATATAATAGACTATTGGGGGCAGTGAAAGGCTACCAGACAAAGATCTAGCAAATAGTTTTCAAATAAAGTTTGTTTTCTTTAATAATGCATGGTAACTTTGAATGACTTAGCACTGTATTGAAAATTAGTTGTAATAAGATAATGTGACATGACAAAAACATGTACAAATAGTTTGGATCGTGTAAATCTTTACATAGTGTCACAATAAAATTGTATTCTAATCCTCTTGATAGAGAATGGGAGAAGGGGAGGAACATGCTTTCTCATATACTTTTTGATATTTACTAGTGCTATATTCTTTTTTTTTTTGTACTGGGAATTGAACTCAGGTCCTTGTGCTTGTGAGGCAGGTGGCAGAACCATTTAGCTAAATTCCTGGCCCTAGTGCTGTATTCTTTCCGATGATGCATTTTTAAATTTTATTGTTTTTAGCTATGAGGATAGCATAGAATAATTACTAAGAGCACAAGTTTTAGGTCAGGTCTGTCTTTATATTCAGGCTCGAATGCAGACCAGGCACAATATCTTTGGATAGTGATATTTGCTCTATAAGCCCCAGTTGATGTGGATGTCAAATGAGATTAATATTACTAACATCGTAAGGTGGTTTTAAAGATAACAATAGTGAAATCATATAAAATATGTAAACTACTGCCTGATAAATATTAAACAATAAGTATTAGCCATTATTATTATTTGGCCTGTCATAAATCTAGATTCTTAAATTAAGAAGTTATCCACTTTCAGTTTGAAAAGTGGGCTATATTATTTCTGTTTAGTTTCTTTTTCTCGATAAAAACCTAAAATGCAGCAGACCACTGTGATGGTGGACACAACCTGAATCGTAATGACCACATCTGTAATGCGGAGGACAACGACACCTATCAGAGAGTTGTTTTCTGCTTACCAGGTATGGTAGACAACCAAACCTTCCGATCAGATCTTCTATGTCCCCTTCACATGGTTTTGTGCATTGCCAAATAAACTGAGATTTTTTTTTTGAAATATCAATTTCTCTGCCAGTTGGCAATTGGTCAGAGGTATTCATGACTTCAAGGAGAATTAGAATAGTGAACAAGGAGCTTTAGAGAAAGAAATAATCAGCATTTGATTTTGGCATCTAAAACAGGACTCTGGAGCCTTTCTCAAAAATAATAATTTCACCAATAGTATTTTTGATGTGGAAGAGTTAGCTTTGTACGGGGAGAAGGAAAGTCTCAACAAAATTCAAGAAAGAGGAGTCTGAAGGAAGAAGAACATACAGCATCTTTCATAAAAATGTAAACCGGAGAGCGCAGGAAGCTCTTCAGTCTGCTCACCTGAGATGGCAGCAAATCCAGGGCTCTCAGCAGACACTGGACAGAAAGGAGGGAGGAGAGGGGATGGGCTGGGGATTAGCATCGGGTGGACCGAAGTCACTGTCCTGCTCGCTCCAGTTTGTTACTCGAGAAGCAGTCGGACACCTACACGCTGCCTCTTGCCATCTGGGTGAGCACAAGTGACTGGTGTTCGGGAGCCAAGCCCGCTGCCCCGATGCAGCTGTAAAGGAAGAGCCTTCGTCTACAGCTGCTTGCTTGTCCGTGGCTATCCCCAGCAGAAAAGGCGTCTACAGCCGTTCAAGTCTCACCGATTTATCTAGGCAGCCTCATGACAGAGGGATCACCCAGTTTTCAGTGGGTGAAGAAGGGCAGTGGCATTTTAGAACCCCTGACAGTAGCAGTTAGGCGGTTGTGTGTAGTTGGGTGACAGAGAAGTGTCCCAGGTGGAAAGGACGGTGAGACAGTGGTGAAATACCAGCACCCCAGGGTCCCCTATCACCCCCTGCACAGCTCCTGGAAGGGAACTCTTGACTTATTCTGATAGAAAACTCTCAAATGTCTCATTTAGTCCTAATTCACTCTCCGTGCTCCCAAGGAGGTGTTCATTACACCCTCCCTTTCGAGTAAAGCACAATGTCTTGTATTCTAGCACTTGTCAGAGTATTTTGCCAATATTTGTTTACATTAGTTTTCACTTCTAGACTATACAATTAATAGTGTTATTTAATCTTGGCATCTCTAGTATATAATTTCTGGCACATAGAAGAGGCTTAGCAGTTGCCAAATGAATATATATATATATATATAATATTAAAATAAATTTATATTTATTTTATACATTTATATAATATATAATTATTTTTGGTAAACATAACATTAGGGCTTACTTTCTGTAGAATTATTTCAATCACAACACATATAAGTTTCCCGGAAAGTGTAGGACTGACAGCTAAATGTTCTGATTTTTCCTAATAGAAATTTGTGCCCGGTTGATCATATATGAACAATGGAAGGCATTTACTATAAGGTATCATTTTTTTCTGTGCTGCTGGAAACCTGTTTTTGACTGAATACGTCTCAATTTGATCCTCAGGACAACTGAAATGCTATCATAGCTGCATCTCACTAAGCCTAACAAAGATTCAAAGGCTTGAAGGTCCTGTTCTGTAGCTAGGACACAGTAGAGCTCATAGAGAAGTGGCCCAGGGAGCCACAAGTTTGGACATAAATTTTGAGCGAGCTGCAAGTACAGTCTAGTTAAATAGTTACAGGTGGCTTAGCCCAAAAGTAGTTAAAAAGGTTTGGTTTATTTCTTTACAATCCCACACTTTTGCAGCTTGTTGTTATTGAATATTGTTATTTTGAAGTAAGGGAGTTGCACTACTAAAGTAGATGCAATTAGTAATTATTACTCTGATTCGTACGTCCTCTTTCTTAGAGTCAGAGACCATCTTCCCATGGTCTTCACTGTCATAGTTCTAACGTTTTCCTTTCCACCTTCTCATACGTGCATTTTCATTTTGCTTTAACCCTGGACACGCTTGAAGGCCCACAAGCAGTGCAGAACTGGACATGCAGAACATGTGTGGAGAGAGAGAGGAGAGTTCAATGCTGAGAGCTCCACTACCAAGGGCTGTTGCATGTGTCCGCCTTAAAAAAGTCTTTCTGATAAATAATATATTTACCTCAAATCCAGTAATTCTTAAACCAGGCCAACCTGGGGCTTCTAAAAAATTATAAGTTCTTTATACTTCTGGAGGAGATTTTGTTTCAGTCACTTGCAGGAGTTCTATATATTTTTTAAGTCCTCAAATTGATAATGATAATGCAAGCTCCACACCCAAATGCACTGATGGGCCGTAAAGATGGTGGAATGAACTTCTTTCCAATTGCACACAGTGGCTCTTTGGTACCTAAATAAATGCTTTACGTAATGTCTCTACCAGTGTTTGACTGTTTTAGAGACAGTAAACATTCTACCCCAAGACTATTCTCTTGTTTTCCTAATGCCCACTTACAAAGTCTGCCATGAATAAAGGCTTTTGAAATTATTACTGTTCATATGAATCTTTTTCTTTTCCAAACCCCTACAGCAACAAAGCCTACAGTATGCAACTCAGCAATTTTTGTTGATTTGTTCGTGGTACTGGGATCTGAACTCTGGGGCTCTCCCCCTACTCAGTTACATCCTCAGCAACACCCCCCCACCCCTTTAATTTTGAGACAGGACCTCACCCTCACTAAGTTGTCCAAACTCAAACTTTGATTCTCTTGCCTCAGCCTTCCATAGCACTGGGATTACAGATGTGCTGCAACTCAGCATTTAAGTGTGTATTTTTATTAAATGAAATGATAAAAATTATTTGTAATTTGCAAACTATGATTCATACATTATATTTTTTACTGTGTCTTGTTTGTTATTCCATTTCTACTTTTCTAGACATCAAACTTTCTGAAAGCTACTAGGTATTATACTTTGTCTCACCCAAATAACAAAAAATAAAAACATAATATGCTGGTCAATTTGAGGGTATTATTGCAGATAGAAGAAGATGGGCTACAAGTTTTACTAGGAGAAATAATACCGGAGCCCAAGAAGGAAGGTAGGTCCCTTTAGCTTTCATGCTCTTTATTGCTTTGGAGTGACTTTTTTCTATCTTTTGTCTTTTAGTTTTGTGCACACAGATTTATGATTTTCTATCATAAAAATGTGTACACCATAGATCATGGATTTGCAATCAATTGGTAAACCATTTATTTGGCTCAAACTGATGTGAAAGATTCGTGTCTTCCTCCACATTCCCTGGTTACTTTTGTCAGCCTCACGATAGTTATTTAAAGCCGTCTTGGATTCTGTGAGGCCGGCTGGGAACAGGACTTCTCAAGATGACTATGTCTGGAAGGCTGTGGCCCATTTTTGCTGGCTATGACCTAGGTCTCTGGAACCAAAGGGAACACACAGCTTTTTTGAAAAATTGAAGGTGTTTATGCTCTCTATGAAACTGAATTCTCCTCGGGCAAGAGACGTGCTTATGTGTACAAAGTGAAAAGAAACACAGTGACTCCAGGTAGTGAACCAGACAAAGCCAGAGGGATCCAGAGAAAGGGAACTTGGGCCCATGGAAACTGAGCA